GGAGCGGCGGCCGCCGCCGAAGGTGTCGTAGAGGGGGCAGGAGCTGTGAAGGTGATGGCGGGAGGACGGTGAGAAAAAGGCTCGTTAGAGAGACGAGCAGAGCTTGGGGAAGTATGAAAAGAGGGAAGGGGAAGGTTTACGTGGAAGAGGTAAGCCATGCATTTTTACAGCGGTAAGCTGTGGAAAAAAGACACAGACAAGAGGGGAGAAAAAGGGAGATGATAGGAAAAAAACAAGGAAAAAAAAATTGAAAAAATCCAGAAGGCAGAACCGACTAGAAAGGCAGAGAGAAAAAGAACAAGACATATGGTGGAACTCCGAATGAGGCAGGAAGATGACATTTTTGCTAAATTAGAATACGGGGATGATGGATGATAATAAACAGGCTAAGCCTGAGAGAAGAGAGCAGAGAGTACAAAGAACAAGTCAGGAGCAGGATAAAGCACCGCGAGTTCACCCGTGGTGCTTTTGTACATCAGAACTGGGGTAAATCTCCACAATCATCCGATCTGGGAACAAAAACCTGTCCAGCAGAATTAAGCGCAACTTGTTTTGGGTCTGAAAAAAAAAATCACTGTTGTGTTTCTTTCTCCACAGTTGACAGGCCGGTCAGAGTGTACGCAGACGGGATATTCGACCTCTTCCACTCTGGCCATGCTAGAGCTCTTATGCAAGCCAAAACTCTATTCCCAAATAGCTACTTGTTAGTAGGAGGTAAGATCAGAATTATTTATTGCGCTGGATTTTTGCTTCTGTGCTTCAGTATCAGAGTTATTGCTGTGCTCGTGCCCCCAGCTGTTTATACACTGTGACTTTGAATGCTGCTTTCGCTCTGCGGGCTTTCTATAGGCGATTTGCCTTGAATTACATCTTACAATTGCATCAATTAAAGTAAAAGTCAAATTCTGCCCTCAGCAGCACAGGCACAATTCCCATTCTAGTTAAAGCGGGTGCCTGCATGACTCTGAGCTTAGAATAGCTCCGTATGAATAATTTACCTTTTTCAGTTATTCACTCAAAATTGTTCAAAGATGGAGATGAGTGAATGAGCTCAACCGCTCATTTATTTCTGGCTCCTCGGTCCCTCCGCCAGGCAGGCACAGCCCCTGGCCCCCAGGTCAGTACTGTGTCCGCACACCCAGCCTTCAGCATCGGCGGAGAAGCTAAATCCAGCCCGCTATCGTTGGAGACCCAAATGTGGGTCACGATTTGAACGTAGTTTTCAGCTCACAAGTGTCCCTGGGCAGGTTACTTTCTTATCAGGTTTTGTTTGGGGTTTGTTGGGGTTTTTTTTGCTATGCATCTCTCCTTTTTTTGCCGTGGGGGTGGCTAAGAGCTGTTCGGCACCCGGTGGGTGCCCGGGGAGTCCCTGCAGAGCAGCTCGTCCCTGCCCAAGCCCCACGTTTCGGGGCCAGCTTCCCGCACCTTCGGAGGGGAGACAAGCCTCGCATAAACTTCTCACGGCAGCCTTCAGCCCCTCAAATGCTGACAGCGGTGATGGTAAAACGAAGGTGGATGCAACCTCCAGCCACTTCATAAGGAGCATTATTTTGCAGCTTTGTCCCAAAGGGGGGGAAGACCCAACCTAGAGGAAAAGCAAAAAAAAAAAAAAATAATCTCCTTATAAACACACTTTTTGGTTTTACTCTTAAGTTTAGGAATTGTGGCAATTCCCGTGGAGCTTCCTGGGCGGGAAAGGAGACGTCCCTTCGTTGTGAAGGAAACGTTTGGGACTGGTGCTTTCCCGCAGAGCCAGGTACCTTGCAGGAGAGGCAGGCGGAGGTGCCCGACTGTCGGGGGTTTTTCTTTTAAAAGCAAGCAAGGACGTTATGTAGGTTTTGTTGTTGCTTGTAAAAAGTGGGGGGTGTCCCAGATCAGGGAAGGAGCTCTGGGGCAAAAGCCTGGCTCCTTTGAAACTTATGGCATAGCTTCCCTTCGCCCTTATTTTTGGCGTGAAGGACAAAGCAGCCGGCACGCCTCAGCACCTTTTCCCAGCAAGGCATCGCGTTGTAGCGGGTTTAGAAAACGGGCCCCTTTCCACACCCACAGACAATTTGTGCTGCAAAAGCACCGGTGTCTTGGGTCTTTGTGGGCACCACAACCAACCCCTTCTATTTCTTCTTGTGAAGACAATTATTTGGAGCCAAGATTTTTTTTTAATAGACATTTATACCTTCCCAGATCGGTCGTTAGAGCAGGATGACAGAACCAAAAGGAAATATGGAGAGACTGTGTCTGCCCTGTACAAGAACAGTCATCAAAAAAGAAAATCGAACCTTTCTACAGAATTCAAGTAAAAATTATGATTTTCCAATAATTTTAGTAGACCCTTTCTTCCAGGAGAGGGTGGCTTTAAGGTGACATAAAGTCTGTAAATAAATATAAATACAATCTCGGAAGGGATCTTTCTACTGAAAATGCTTTGATCTCCGTTAATTTTTTTGTTAGCAGGCATCAAAAATGACATAATAGGGTAGAGTAGCATTTCGCTAGCTGAAATTCATACGTATATTATTATCTGGCTTTGAATTTTGCAGGAACTCCAGGGCTATCTAAGCCTTCCTACATTTTTCCCCACTTTAAAGGTCCCTAATGACCATCACAGCAAGAATATCCATTTTAGATCTCAAAAAAGACTGCATTTTTGCCAGCGCCTTGCCTGATAGGTTGATGTTTTCAAATTAGAACGAAGTAGGGCTGCTCTCACCCTTCCCTGCAGCACTAATAACGCTGCATTTATCATTTGTCAAGCACATTTACCATTTGTGCCGGTGTGGCAGAGAAGCGAGATCCAAGGGCACGGGTCTGACCCGGGGTGAAGGACAACCGCTGCGCCCAGCTCCAAGGGGGTGGCACGTTACTCCGTGGGGGGTGGCAAATGACTACCGTAGCCTTAACACTGGAGAGAGTTACCGTTGTGGGGACAGGTCAGGGTGTTTTACGCACTGTTATCTGGGTAGGAAGAGAATACCTGACTTTTATAGTCCTCCAGTAACACAGGTGTTGCTTCCCCTCATCTTAAAAGCAATGTGACAAAGTGTTGGTACATCCAGAGCTGAAGATGCGGGGTTTCTGGACTTTTAACTCTGCTCATTCCACTGGAGCATACAGCTTCGCCCAGTCCTTTCCACGGGGCTTCCTTCTGTGATTTCCCATTTGAGCACGGCACGAGCCTTCCTTCTCGTTCTGTGAACTCTGCTGAACTCAAAGCTAAACTCAGAGACCGATTCCTATAGAGTCTGCCATGACTTGTTTTCCATCGGTGTTTACTTAGGGAGAAACTGCTGTGATTTAGGGCTCTGTTGGCAAATTCATCACTTAGAGCGTTGTTTACCTCAGAACGAAAAGCGGGAAGAGGAGGCCCAGAGAGGCTGCGGGGTGTCTGTCTCTGGAACCTCAGCAGGATGTGGCCCTCGGCACCCTGAGCACCCTGCTGCAGTTGACCCCGCTGCGAGGAGGGGGTTGGATCGGGTGATGTCCAGTGGTGCCTTCCCACCTCCACCATTCTGTGGTACAGGCAGCTTGCGAGCACTCTGTGATTGCCGACACTGCCCTTTTTGATCGTTTTTAAAGTGTGGGCCATCACCCCTGAAATTTCACAGCCCCTGAAATCCCCACTCAGAGTGGGACTGGGTTGCCTGAACACGTGCATACCGTCCCACCGGAGATGGCCCGGGCTCTGGCTGCAGCTCCAGAAAGGGAAGGATCCGCCGAGGTCTGTGGTTGTACCTGCCAACCCTCAGCAGAACTCTCGGATGCCCTGGAGCACCCCAACATTAGCTAAGCTGATAACTAAGTGCTTAATGGAATTATCAGGAAATAATCAACTGCTGGTCATGCTAATTCTGCTGAGTGTGGAGCCATTGTCTTGATACTTCCATATTTTAGTTTGCAGTGATGATTTAACTCATAAATTCAAAGGCTTCACTGTGATGAACGAAACTGAGCGATACGAAGCCCTCAGACACTGTCGTTACGTGGATGAGGTCATCCGAGATGCACCCTGGACACTGACACCCGAGTTCCTGGAAAAACATAAGGTACGCTTCTCCCTTTATCCCTCCCTTCCCCTTTGCAGACTGGCAGTTGAGAATAAACAGCAAGTCTGTGAAATTCTATTAGCTGGAGCAAATGATTTAGTTCAGTTAATTCCAGTCACTGAAGTTAGGTACACAGCACTGCTTGCCTCCATCCTTGTCAGAAAATGTGGTATTTGTCTTGCCTTTTTTTCTCAATATGCTGGGATGATTTCTGTAGTGGGATTATGGAATGGCAAAACAACACTGAAGAATTATTCCCCAATTGACTTTCAGAAAAGGAGATCATGAACCAGGAGAGTTATCACGTACTGACTAAAGTCCCGTTAAAGCCCTGAGTTAAAGGCTCCTTTCTTACTAACGTCAACAGGTGCAGTAATTGGCCAGAAACACCTAAAAATGTCACGTGCCCTCTAAAAGGCAGGACAGAATTTCTTACATGCTCTTGCCTGCCTTGCAATATGTATGAATCTTAACAAAAGCATCATTAACTAGGATGTAATTTAGGGTCCACATCCGTGGGTGACGAAAGGACGGCGTGACAGGACGAGGTACACACGCATATAGGCACAGCCTGGAGGAGGCAGACTCAGTAATCCTGCCTCCGTGGGTTTGAACGCCAAGGCTTTGCCACTTGACTTACCTCCTCCAGTAGCAATAAAAGCAGGAACGGGTGTCCTAGGTTTTCTGCAGAATATCGCACACCGCCAGCGCCCTGCGTTAATGGCAGTGCTTCTGGAGACGAGCTTTCTGCTCTTTCATAACTGATGATACAACACAGCAGTGGTAGGCCTCAACCTAGTGCAATGTTCTAGGTGATGGCTTTAGGATGAGAATGCCAAAAGCAAGTCAGCAGAAGTCGAGAAAAGAGATGATCCTCCACAACGACCCCCCACTGAACCAAAATTCAGTGATGGTGGCATGTCATTCTTCTTCTCTTCACTGGCAGATTGACTTTGTAGCCCACGACGACATCCCGTACTCCTCCGCTGGCTCGGATGATGTATACAAACACATAAAGGAGGCAGGTAAGGGCAACTTTACATTTTTAGCACCTTCCTTTCCAGCCTCAGCTCAAATGCTTTTACTGCCTTTAGGCCACCACTGCTGGGAGAGCGGCAGCAGAGAGAACACCTCGTTCTCTTGCACCTAACGGTAGGTTCTGCTGACTTCAGCAGAAAGATTCACCTTGTAAAGCCACAAAGGATGTCCTTGGCTGAATTCCTGCCATAACCCCCAGGAAACCATTCAGGTCTGTCACGAGAGAGCCCCATCCGGGTTTTTAAAACAATTTTAGAGTGCTCGATTAAGAGCTTTGAATGGATGAAAATGAGTTTAGTTCCCGCAGCAGCCCAGCCGCCTTCAGTCGTTGGTTGATAACCGCAAACCGATGACCCTTGGGACAGCCCCGTCCTGAACAGGGGCAAGCGCAGGCAGCCCTCGGGAGTCCTTGGGATCCACTCCTGATTTGCACCAAGGGTTCTTTTCACTACACTGGCAGAGGGTTTAAATCGGTACCGCAGTAATTCATTTGCCGTGACCATTTAGCAGCTTGGTTGACTACCATATTGCATTGAACATGAACACGCCGTAGTCACCAGGAGTTTGTATCTCTTCAGTTCAAGGAAGCTGAAGTAAATCCGAGGAGATGCTGTTAAGCCACTGTTTGCCAGCAGCGGCTATCCTAACGCAGTGAACGGTGCGGGAGGGAACCGATCATCCCTTTCTTCTTCGGCTCCCTGAGGTCCTGCTTTGGACCCTGGCAAATCCATCCTTTTCATGGTCTACACAAACACATATATTGGAGGCTTAAAAATTTTCCAGAGCAAATCTGCCTGATGGTAGTTTGTCGTGCAAAGTGACCTTCTCAAGCTATACAATGACAGCAGCAGACCAGGTATTGACCTGAGCTGAAAGAATAAGCTTTTTATAGCAGCAGTTCTTGATCTTTCTGCCCTTGCAAACCTCGCTGTGGTGCCAGACCGACAACCCTCCTTTGGGAACTGCTGTTCCACAGTTTCGGAGCCAGCAGCAGCTGACTTCACTGGGCGATGGATCAAAGGTAGCTCTGGTAAGGACAGGTCACCCAGGGACATCCAGCACACGTGCTGGACAGGCAGCTAGTTTGCTTTTCTTCTGTAAGGTGCTGAGCACACAGGACAACATGAGGGGAGCCCTCGGTGTCACGGCATCGTTACCAGAGCGAGCCGGAGGGTGCCCAAACCTGGCACAGCCTCCTCTGCTGTTGTTGGGCACGGGGGCAGCGCGCATGCGTCCCCACGAGAAATTCAAACTTTGCAGAACAGAGCATGGACTTGCAGCTTCAGGGACTCCTGGTCTGTCCTGTGTCCATCACTGCGAGACGCTGGAGAAGCGACTTCATCCTTGTACGGCTGAATTTTGTTAGGTATAAACTGGGAATAACGCTACCTCATTTGTGAAGGGTTTGGAGGTCTAGTGCTGTAATAGTCCTAACGCTCCAGAACAGCATTATTACAATAGTGAATCTCCTCTTTCTCCGAGGGGTTTTGTTTTAAATAGACCGGTGCTGCGGATGCATTTGTGCATTTTCCTTAGTTCCAGTACTGCCGTTGTCCCACATCAGGTTGGGGAGCAGAGAAGCAGACGGGAACTGAGGAGCCCCTTGCGTAGATTCCCAAGGGCTCCCGTTTCCCACTCCCTTCCGTGGGTGCGAGGGCACACGGACGACGCTGAGCTGGGCGCCGCTGCGCTGGCTCTGCACTTCTGGAGCAATTAGTTTGGAAAGCGTGAGTCAGTCCAACACACGACGTGTGTGACCACAAAATCAGTGACTAAAGGTAACATTCTCGTACGTGGGTTCGTGCATCTACTTGACAACAATTCCGCTTTTGGCTTGGCAAGGGTAGGGTTTGGGTGTTGTTCAGGTATTCTGGTAGCTCCGATCTGTAAAGGCTTCTGCCTCAAAGTGGGTTTCACTGCCTCCAGAAATACCTTCCTGAGTGACTGCTGCAAGCCTGAAAAGCACGATCAGGGAAACCTCTCTGCTCGTGATTACAGCAATCTATTTTTTTAGCAAAGTATTAGTTAGAGATCAGAAAGAAAAAATATCACATAGCATTTAGTCACAAGAAGCTGCTAAGCTGCTTGATCCCTTCTCCAGATCTTTTTCTAACCCTGTGAAATTAGCTAGCAACGCCTGCCTCCTTCAAGGGAGCGTGGCAGGATTAATTTGCCCGTAGCCCCAGCCCCCTTTCAGGACAGAGCACCCCTGTTTTTGCAAAACCGCACAGCTCTGTCAGCAGCAGCCTGATGCTGCAGTGACGTGTAAGGGAGAGCAGTAATTTTTCGTAGCCCCAGATAACCAGCGAACCAAGGTGTGCCGGTGCTCTGCTGTTGCTGCCTTTGTGACTTGCATTGACTGCTCCAGTGATCCTGTCTTGATGAGGAGCAATTAAAAAGCAATACAGACACCTCAGCCGCGTCGAGGAAAACACAAGCAGTATTAGTGGATGGCCAGTGTTCTTAGGGACTGCTCTGTCGGAGCAGGGAGCGCGGCCGGGTGGACTTGAAACAGGGGCTCGGGAGACCGATACCCTCCATCCCCGCGGTACGGCCACGTTCGTTCACGCCACCATTACACCTCGCCTTCCTCTTACAACCTACCGGCACCTCCAGGGTGTTCTCCCGTTGCTGTAACGCGTCTTTTACGTGGAGGCATGTCCCGGCTTTGGCCAAGGCCAGAACCTGCTCTGGTTTACTCAGCAGCACAAAGACCATCAGATGGAGAGCAGAAATACACGGGGGAGCAGCAAACGGCCTTTCCATAGCAGGAGTGGAAGCCAACCCCCCGGCTCCTTTGTGTGACATTGAATAAGGGCTGCGCGCTGGGAAGAGCCACTGGGTGAGCTGCCCCCACGGCGAGGTTTGGCCTTGCTGGCCGGGGAGCCCCCACCCATCTCAGAAGAGGGCAAGTTTTAGCCTTTCCGAAGCCTTGAGGAAAAGCGAACGGTATAGCGACCTAGTGCCTTCCCTAAGCTCACGCGGGAACGACAGGGAAGAACTAGGAATAGGACAGGCAGAATTGCCAGTCCCTTACCTTTGGTCAGGCGTTTTAGTGGTCATCCTTGGCTAACTGCCGCAGTGCCCGGGCCCGCCGTGCTTTCTCAGCGGGCTTGCTTTTCCCACTTTGCTCAGGTATGTTCATACCAACGCAGAGGACCGAAGGTATCTCCACATCGGATATCATCACAAGGATCGTCCGGGACTACGACGTGTACGCCCGGCGCAACCTCCAACGAGGATACACCGCCAAAGAGCTGAATGTTAGTTTTATAAACGTAAGTACGCCGATCCGCATTTGCTTCTGCAGCACTCTCTCCTAGGACCCGGAATGGGGAGTAAAGGCTAAGACAGGATACCTTCCTCCCGCTGCTTTTAAAACAGCTGGAAAAATTAGAAAGAAACTGGTAAGCTGAGGGTAGTTTTAATTGCCACTGTTAATTAGCAGCTTCATTTCCATCTTATGCTTTCACATTTGTAACCAAGCTGCTGCTGCCCCGTCCTCCTTGAGCTGTGGGTGACTGGCGGGGGGGAAGGAGCCCGCCCCCACCGCAGGCTTCCCCCCGCTCGCCCAAAACACCGCTTCTTCCCTTAGTCCCCTGGTGGGGAGGCAGCGCAGAGAGCAAGGACTTCGATAGCCAGCCTTCCTCTACGACGTGACAAAAACCCCCAACTGCTGAGCAGTGAGGTTACTCGAGGAAGCTAAGATGGTTTTTAAAGGCAAGGAGGTGCGTTAGGAAGCTGGTACATAGGTGATGCTGACGAGGCCAGAAGCCACAAGAGGTAGGGCAAGGGTGCGCTGGAAGGATGGCTCGGCTTCCTCGGCTCCCACCCACGGAACTGCGCCCTACCCTCCAGCGAGGAGTAAACGCTTAACAGGAATCAGAGTTTACCTGCCTTCGTTTTCTGTTTCGAGTCTGAAGGCCTCGAGCTACCCCAGGTAACCGAGGTCTTCCTTGGGACTGGGCTGGCTCCCCGCGGGACTTCCCCCCCTCCTTCCCTGGCGCTGGGAAACCCCCTCGCAAGGGACTGAATTGTGTCATGTCCCCAGGGTTTTGCCTACTTGTGTCTTATGTTGAAGTCTGGCAGGTAAATCGCAGATCACAGGGCATAAATATTTATTTTACCGTGCTTTTTTTTCCCCCCAGTTTTCTACACCTCAAAAAAAAATCCAGCTTGTAAGTACTCCACCCAGAAGGATCACTATTGCAAATACCCGGGTCATTCGGGCACGCTGGGTGCCGTGGGGGTTCCCAAACTTGTCCTTTAGCAGCTCTGAGGTTAAGGCACTGTTCCCTAAGGTGTGCTTCCCCAGTCTCGGACACTGATGTATCCTGAGGTCCCTCCCGGCGTTTGGCTATTTGGTGTAGAGTAATTTAAATGCAGCAATACTGATTTGCACCCGAGACTGTTTCTCAAAATCAAACGTAGAGGACAATATCCTGAGGTCCCTCCCGGCGTTTGGCTATTTGGTGTAGAGTAATTTAAACGCAGCAATACTGATTTGCACCGGAGATTGTTTGTTTCTCAAAATTAAATGTAGAGGACATCCTATTTTAGAAGCTCAGGTATTTTAGAAGCTTGGCCTGAGGAGAGCTCCCTAACGTTACCTTCTCCGTCCCTCTCTTCTCCTGCGTGAGTCGGCAATTCGGAGTGGGTTCTCTCCCCTCTGAAGCCCCACGGCAGCAGCCTGCGCCCAGGGCTGCTGCAGCCGGAAGGTTCTGCCTCGGCCAGGGCTGGAGGTGAAGGGAGCTCTGCAGAAACCCAGCCAAAGGGACCTTCTGCTCCAGTGAACATCCTGGCCGGCAAGTCAGCAGCAGCGGGCTGCGTTTGCTAGGAAACCCCGGGAGATTTGCCTTGTGCTTACTGCTACTGTTCATTTCGCACTTGTATCCTGCACAATACTCGTACAATTTTCCAAGTGCATTTGGTTTGAAAGTACGGAAAGATTCAAGTAGTGGATTAGACACAGTAATCACATGAGACAGTCTTCTCAATACGTACCTTCTGCGCTTCGTTCCACAAACGTTAAATTTGCATTTGTAACAGTAACGTGGGAATAGTTAACCAAGGCCATATGTATTAAGATACACTAATGCAATTTTTCTCTTCTCAACTGTCAGCGGCTAATTATTTCCAAGTCCCTATATATTAATTTCTGTCCATGCTTTTAAAACAGGAGAAGAAATACCGCTTTCAAAACCAAGTGGACAAAATGAAAGAAAAAGTCAAGAATGTGGAGGAGAAATCAAAAGAATTTGTTTACAAGGTGGAAGAGAAGAGCCATGACCTCATTCAGAAATGGGAAGAAAAGTCCAGGGAATTTATTGGCAACTTTTTAGAGCTGTTTGGACCCGACGGAGCCTGGGTAGGTATTCTGCCATCCCAGGAAGTCTGAGCGGTTTTTATTTCTCCTCTGTAACAGATCAAGAGCAGATTCTTTTGCTGCAGTCTTTGTTTTGAAAGCCAGCATGGCAGGATAACACCAGACCTGCTTGCTGAATCCAATAACGCTTGCCAATACTGCAGCGGGAGGATTTGCCACTTCTGGCCGTTGCTTCTTTGGGATCATTTCTGTCGTTTGCGAAGGGGTGCTGCTGAAGGGGACACTGCATTGAGTAGAGCTGCCTCACAGCAACAGGCGAGCAAACGGGCTGATCCAGCCTGTTCTCCCCAGCAGCGTGCATGGGAGCACAGGGGCGTCGGGGGGGAATTACACGGGGGCGGTGGTGAGGGAAACGGGACCGTGGAAGAGTTTTTCCGTAGTTCTCCTCGCGCTCTGTGCTCAGCAGTAGACGATGACGATTTTCTAACTTGAAGAACTACCGATCTGAAGTTCCAAGAAATGACTGTACACGTGGAGCGGGCAGGCTCATCTAACGGGCTGCAGGCAGGCTCGGGTGGAACTGAAGCACTTCCCACGCTCTCCTCCGTACGTGCCGGCCCCACAGAGCCCGTTTACCGCAGGGCCTTGGGAGGGCATCAGCATCCTTCTGGGGAGAAACCCCAGGGCCTTCCCTGCTCAAACCAGTCATGCGCCGAGCGAGGGGCGAGTTGGTGACACCGCAGAGCCCCAAAAGAGCCCTGGCTCCCATCTTTCCGTTCTGATCGCTTGCCAAACCTTGAGAAGCTTTGTTTTCTTGCACTACTTCCCGTGGCTACACTGAAACCAGTAGCAAAGCTCAATTTGAATGTAGAATTGATCATTCGTTTGAACAGACCTTCCTAGACCGTCCTGTTGGGAGTCGGTCCTTCTCCAAAGAGCTCCGCACGGAGCCGCGTGCTGCTGAAAGCCCAGACCCGCCAGCACAGGCATCGTCTTGTCCCGGACGTGCTGCTCCCGCTGCAAGCTCCGAACGAAGCTTTGGCTGGGTTGGAGGGCAGGCACGGAGGAGAGCCGCAAGCAGTGCAGGGGGAACCGCGGGGAGCGGAGTAAGAGGTAACAAACAATGCCACCAGACAGCAGCATGCCTCAGAGGTACAGAGCCGGCACTCGGGCAGCTCCCTCCTCACCTGAAAGCAAACCCTTTGCAAGGGGCCTGTGCAAGGCTCTAACGGCTCACGGATTACAGATTGAGGCAAAACGTCAGTAGAGGCAGCAAGCCGAAAAAAAAAAAAAAGAGTTTAGGACTAGCATGAAGCAGACACTATTGGAATATTTTTACAGAACCAACACACAAGTAATGTTCTCTCAGGTCACTCTTATCAGTTCATACCTGAACAACTTCCCATCACGACAGGGACCTTCTGTTGAGAGGATCTCAGCAGAGTTTTTGTTCATAAACGAACCCTCAGGAAGAGCCACCGAGCCCCGGTGAACGAAGTAGCCCCCATCAGAGCCGCCTCACCGCTCCGTGCCGCCAAAGCACGCAGCACCTGCCTCCTGCTGGAGTTCTCATCTTTTCTCTACCATGACTTCCCGTGTTGATTACCGCTCAAGTTGAGAAAAGCCTAAAATTGGGCTGTGAAGGCTTCAGAACCGAGACTGCATCTTTGTAATCTCCTTCCAGCTACGTCAGTCCCGTGCAAAGGCAGGTGCTCTCTGAGTAACGCCGGTCCCAGCCGTATAAACCAATAGCTTATTTAGCAATTTGTTCATTGACGGTGCCGCCTTCCTTGGGGAGGGGACGAGGGTAACTCTTCTGACGAAAAGCCCAGGTTTACCTGCGTCGAGCACAACCACACGGAGCTTCCTCTGTAAGTTGTGCTCCAGAGAGCCTGGCGAGCGTTCCCCACGCGGGATGGTCCTGCGGGCGTAGGTGCTGCGTACATAAAACTCAGGCTAACGGAGCACGTGAAACCCACGGGAGGTGAGAGGAGTTGGGCTGTGCAGAGAGAGGGAAAGGAATTTAAAAGCCTTGATCCCATTCCCTGGCTCGCCCCACTCGACACTGCACACCCATGGCATTTTTAAAAGCCCTGCGCTGATAAAACATTTTACCAACTTCGATTAGAGAGAAGCTGCTCTGCCGAGGGCTTTGTGGAGCTGGGGGTCGCCTCCTGTTTCCCACGTTCGCGTCTGAGCACAGAGCAGGAGATGTGGTGCGGTCAGAGACCTTCGCCAGGACGGAGAGTGGGAAAAGCGTCGGCGACAGCGAGCCGAGGGGTGCTGGGGCCCCCGCAAAATCAGTCAGAGCCCTGGCAACAGGAAAGACTTTTAAAATAACGGTAACTTGCTATTAGTGTCAAAACTCTTATGGACGTTAATTTGCCTTATCACTGCTAGTTACATGTTGCTTTTAATGTTGACATTAAAAGTACAGGAACCGTTATGGGCATGCCGGATTCCTAGATCAGTAATTTGCATGCCATTAATATGCTATTATTTCAGAAATAATTATTACAATATGCTTTATGCTAGCATCAATTTTCTAAAAGTAAGGGCCACGTAACCCACCAAAAAAATGCCCGCTTGTGAAGAAGGTCAAAATGTCAGTTTTCAAACGTCGAGAGGTCCAGAATTCAGTGGCAGTTTTGCCCACCTGTGCCATCCCCACATGTATTTTTTTTTTTGTGAGAGAGTCGCAGAGGGGTCAGAAACAACAATTAACGTGGCTCAGAGCTTTTGTTGCGGCACGGGCGAGGACCCCGGCACAGCCCGCCCCAGAACCGGCGGGGTCCATCGCACCTCCTCTCCGAGCCGTACCAGCAGGCAGCTGCGCTTCAGGGCAGGGGAGAGAAAGCCAAGCTGACAGGGCAGGGTTTCCGTGCCGGTCTCCCCCAGGAGCATCCCTGCCAAGGGCCGGCTTCCCTCGACTCGGTGCGCAGAGGGAGTCAGGGATGGGAAACGGCTGCATCCCCCCAGACATCAGCGGGGGCTCAGATGAATCTTCTAGATGGCAACTAGACCCCAGGGACGGTGCTCAGGCCACAGCGTGTGTCCGTAGCCTGGCCCTGAGCACGGCCTCGAAGGAATCCGCAGCTCAAAAGCAGCAGTCCTCCGTAACGCCGAGCTGGCACTGGTCAAAAGCAGCAGTCCTCCGTAACGCCCAGCTGGCACTGGTTTTGTAAAGCAACGGAGCACCAACGTGCAGGCAATAAAATTCAGAAATAGGCAAAGTATTTTTGCCCAGTAGCGAATTTGCCAAAAGCAAAGTGTTACCTCCTTAAACTGGTTGGATGTGCCTGAACTCGCTTCGGCCAAGACTTTGAAATTATTTTCCCACCCGCGGTAAGGGTCCAGAGAACGTG